TCACATGGGTCAGCACTCACGCCCTTTTGAGACCTCCACACGTGCGTGGACAGGTTGGGTTGGCGCAAAGGGGCTAAGGCCGAGGAGGCCAGGCCCAGGCGTCAGAGCCGGCCCCATTTTTTACAAAGCATCACATGTGCACAGCTAGGGTTGGCGCAAAGAGGGGAGGCAGGGCAAGGGAACACAGCACCACTTGGGTTGGCGCAAGGGGCAAGGCCGGGGGCCAAGGAGGCCAGGCCACCAGGGCCAGGGGCCAGGGCGGCCAGGGCCACGCCACGCCAGGGGCCCCCCATACAGGTAGGGCCAGCCCAGGTCCAGCGACCAGGGCGGCCAGGCAGCGGTCGCCCGCCTGGGGCTCCCTCGCACGGTCTCACTGAGCGCTCGACCAGCGCCCGCCTACCCCAAAAGACAAGAGAGTGGGGTGGCGGGCGGGCTTAGGGTTTAGGGTTACCAACCAACCAACCAACCTCAACCCTAAACCCTGAACCTTATAAACCCACGGAAGCTGCACAAGCCACGCCCATCCTTGCACCCTTGGATGTGTAACCCTGCCTATCCTGCCCCCAAACTGGCACCCTAAACCCTAAACCCTAAACCCTAAACCCTAAACCCTAAACCCTAAACCCTAAACCCTAAACCCTAAACCCTAAACCCTAAACCCTAAACCCTAAACCCTAAACCCAAAACAAGCCTGAAAGAAAAGGCTTCGGGTGCAGGGTGTAAACACGGTGAAGAACCCTCAACCTAAACCGTCAACACCCGGATACACCCGGGTGAAACGGACGGGTCGCTGTAGAACCATGGGTGCTTGTCCTGCCTAAACCCTACCCTAAACCCTGAACCCTGAACCCTGAACCCTGAACCCTAAACCCTAACCCCCAAACCCCAAACCCTAAATCCTAAACCCCAAACGCTAACAGACTGCAACCATCCACTGCTACGAATGAATCGCGCTTGCACAGCCCTCAAGGCAACCCGACGCTCAGTGTCCCGCTTTTCAACCGCCTGCAGGGAGTGACGAGACCCCTTCACATCCTGGGATTTCACAGCTGTGCAGAGGTCTACTTGGAGGTTCAGGGTACTTATAACCCCAGTTTATAACTGTACTATGCCCCGTAAGCCCTCTAAGTAGGTTGTAAGTAGACTCATAATTGGGGTTAGAAGTACCCATGAACCTCCAAGTAGGTGAGATGCCCTGAGGCATTTCAAACGCTGATCGGGAGGGCCTTCCCAGCTTGCGGGGAAGAAGCTGATATAATGATAATATGTCATAGGACATCTTTGGCTTGGACACGCGAGTCGCCAAGGTTCCGAGTGCTGCTTCCTCCCCTGCAGGTGCTAACTGTCCCGCACAGGAAAAACGCAAGCGCGCAGTAGGCTATCCGTCTGACTGCGTGCGCGGGACGTGAGTGAAACGGGGCTGGTGAATGCGATTTCCAAGCTGCGCTAGGTGTTGTGGTAGGATGTATACTTGATTCTTCATAGGTACATCTAAGTAAGGTTGCAAGTATCCTGAAGGAGGTTATAACAATAGCTACCCTACTTATAGCACTTACTTGAAAGAACCCTACTGAACCTCCAAGTAGAAATCTCTGGGTTTAGGGTTTAGGGTTTGGGGTTTAGAGTCTCAAATCAACAATGGAGGAAGTTTTCCGGAACACCCCTAAACCCTAAAACCTGAACCCTAAACCCTCAACCCTAAACCCTACGACTTCCCTGCAGACATCTCAGCGGCGCATGGGGAAGCCCTCCGCAAAACCTTGAACCCCACAGCTTGGGATGTTCCCCCTTCTACGAACAGCTCCCTCATAGGGATTAGAACAGCGCAGTTCTCGAAAAAACTATTAAGCACTGGTAGTATCAGGGGGTACACCTCCACCTAAGTCCTAAAACCCTAAAAAGACCCTAAAACCAACACGTCCCTAAGACCTTCAAAATAGAGAATCAGGGCATCCTCCTGGCAGGAACCCGGTGTGCCCTGCAAAAACATACAGGGTGGGGCCCCCTAGTTATAAGTAGAGTTATAAGGGCCCTAAATTGGGTTATAAGGACCCTAAGTTAGGTTATAAGTCCCTTAACTACAGTTGGCATAGTAAGGGGGCCCCACCCTGTATATGTAGCCCTGGAGCCCGATAAGTCCCGACAAGTTTTGAAGGAAAGGTACTGCCGGGTTCTTACAGGGAATCCTAACTTTCTAAACCCTCAACAACGGGGATCATGAGGGACATTCTTGTCCTGGAGCCCTAAACCCTTTCAACCCCAAACCCGAAGAAATCAGGGGCATTCTTGTCCTGCAGCCCTAAGGCCTAAACCCTAAACCCTAAACCCTAGACTTCCCTAAGCCCTAAACCCTAAGCCCTAAACCCTAAACCCTAAAAAGCCTAAAGCCTAAAGCCTGAAGCCTAAGTGTCGTCTTGGAAGTCTTCCAAGCCCCGCCTCTTTCCAGGGACATTGGCCTCGGAGTTGCGTCAGAGGTGGGCCCTCTCCACAGCGAGCCTCAGGGGTTGAAGCTTGAGGGTTCAGGGTTTAGGGTTTAGGGCATAGGGCTTAGGGAAGTTTAGGGTTTAGGGTTTAGGGTTTAGGGTTTAGGGTTTAGGGTTTAGGGTTTAGGGTTTAGTGGTTCTTGGGGGGGTTGAAGCTTGAGTGTTGGGGGTTAGGGTTTAGGGTACTGGGGTTCAGGGTTTTGGGGTTTTGGGGTCTTGGGGTTGGGGCTTAGGGCTTACAGGGTTTATAGGGTTCTTTGGGTTTTGGGGTTTAGGGGGCTTGGGGTTTAGTGTTTCGGGAGCTGAGCTTTCTAGGCGAAGCAAGATTCCCGATTCACCTCTTGCTTCTGAACTTCGTATGGGCGTAGAAGATGCCCCATAAACATGTCTGAAGACCTCTATGTCCTAAACACTGAGCCCGACAGGTCTGTAAGCCTAAACCCTAAACCCTAAACCCTAAACCCTAAACCCTAAACCCATCTATGCTTCCCTTCTCCTTCCCAGGATAAAGAAGGTTCAAGCCTGGCATCGACGGAGGAGGCCTGATCTGATGAAAAGTCACTACTATTTGCTTAAGACCCCCCCCCCCAAAAAAAACAACAATAATCCCTATATTCCCTTTATAAGGTAGAATAGTTTTTTTTTTTTTTTTTGGGGGGGGGGGGGTTCTTGAGCAGTTGGTAGATTGTGGTCAGGTTGTTGTGGTGTCTCTATTGGCATACATGTTTAGGGTTTAGGGTTTAGGTTTTAGGGCTTAAGGTTTAAGGTTGTGGTACCACAAGCGAGCCCATACTAGGACTTCATGGGAGCCCCATTCGACTGCTCCACCGGGTCTATAGCCCAGAAGGTGTTCAGAGCGACATCGAGGGCACGCCTCCCACCCTAAACCCCAAACCCCAAACCCTAAACCCTAAACCCTAAACCCTAAACCCTAAACCCTAAACCCCCATTTTATTAAATACCGCCCTAATTCGATTAAAAACAAAAAACTCTCCGGAAAATCCTGCCGAAACCGACCCTGCCTTCTAAAACCTATTCCGAATTAGGGCGCGGGTTCAGGGCTCCCAAATCCCTCAAGCCAATCCTAAACCCTGAAACCCTAAACCCTCCTTCCCTCTTCCTAAACCGTAACCCCGCCCCCTCTCTCTCTCTCTCTCTCTCTCTTCCTCAGTTTACACCCAAATTAACTGAGTAATTACTTAAATCCTCCAAACTCTGAAGCCTAGACCCTAAACCCTTTAGACCCCAAACGTGACATTTGGATAAAAACATCCCCCTAAAATAACAAAAGCACATTTCGAGTTTCTTTGGGGGGGGGTTAATATTAGGGGGACTCTAACCCCTAAACCCTAAACCCATCTATGCTTCCCTTCTCCTTATTTAAGAATAGAAGGGGGCCAATCAGCTTTTCGAGCTGGGGGGATGGGCCTGAAAGCAAGGGGTCTCAGACAAGTGTACATGCACCTCTGAAGCCACGACATTTTAACCCCAGTCACTTTCTGAATACCCTACACCCTAAACCCTAAACCCTAAACCCTGTTCAATTTTTCAAGGCCTACAGGCATCCAACTAACAACCGCAAAGAGCCCAACTTTGGAATCCACCTCATAGTCTCTCGGCTGCAGGTTCCCCCTAAACCATCCATTTACCTATGAAACTCCGCTCGCTGTGACACAAAAGTGGTGCTTTTCAAAAGGGGGGGGCTCCCAGGCGTCGTCTGCAGCGATTTTCGACTCCGCCGTCAAGCTCCTCGGGAAAGGCTGACTCTTTCGCGACGGGCGCTTCGGGAAGTAGGATTTAGGGTTTAGGGTTTCGGGTTTAGGGTTTAGGGTTTAGGGCTCAACATAGCTCTTACTTGGCTAACTCTTGGCTACAAGGTCTCTGTAGAGACTGTAGGGAAAATCCCAAAGAACCATGCACATGCCCAAGCCCAAGCAGGCGCCAACCCCGAAGCCCGGAGGGTTTCGGGTTTAGGGCTCATGGTCCCTTAACATGGGCCCTAAACCCTAAACCCTAAACCCTAAACCGTCCCCATGCTGGAGTCCGAGCGTCTTTGGCGCTTCGAGATCGGCAGGCTGGACGCTGTGGTCCATGTGGTGATGGACAGTTTCCTACAGTGGAGCTGAAGCAAAGTGGGGGTCTATATTATAAGAAGGGGCCGCAAAGATAGACTATAATAAGAACCCCAATAAGGTACCACTAGTATCGTAAGCCCCCAAGCAGTCATGTTTGCTGGAACAAGAAACTGCAGCGCTGGATTGAATCTAGACGGCATGCTGCGTACTTAGAGATAAAAGTCTCGACAAAGCCAGGAGCTGTCCCTAAACCCTAAACCCTAAACCCTAAACCCTAATTAAACCCTAAACCCCAAACCCCAAACCCGAAACCCTAAACCCTAAACCCTAGACCTTGACCATCGATTCCTACACATTAAGTTAAGCGGACAAGCCCCCAAAGTTCCGAGCAGAGATCCCAATGCCCTTGATTCAGGAAGATACCTTTACACATCGTCTGTCATTAGCTGTCCCAGGGCGCCCAGCTCCCAGACGCCCGCCGGGTGTCTCCGATCGTCGGCACGCGCGAAGGACGGGGTGTAGCACCTGCGGCGAATACCTGCAGTGCAAGAGACCTCTGGTGCTCTCCCAATTCCTGATGCCACTGCCGCTGTTGGCATGCCTCAATGAGCGCAAGTTCGAAGTCTGCGACGTTCAGGTTTCTGTCAGCGCAGAAATCGGAAAGCTCCTCAGCCTGCCCAATTTCCAAAACGGTGTGCTGCGCCACAAACTCCGCAATGAAGGTGGACGTGCGGACGATAGCTTGGAGGAGCTGCGCGTATGGTCTTGAAACAGAATCGCCCTCTTAGCACGATTCAAGGTGCAGCCCTTACGTGAGTTTTGGGGCCCCTAAACCCTAAACCCGAAACCCTAAACCCGAAGCCCTACGGTAAACCCCTAAACCGCCAAGGCTCTTCCAGCTTCTTCGCGCCGTACTGCGTGTACCAGAGAAGCAAGTACAAGCCAAAGAAGCCCGTCTGCCTGGGCTCTGGCTTCGACAATGGAAGGCTCTTCTATACCGAACTTAGGAAACCCTGGCAAGAAAACAGATGTTTCATAGGAATGAAAGTACCCAAAGACCCTAAACCCTAAAGCCTAAACCCCAAACCCTAAACCCTAAACCCTAAACCCCAAGATTAAAAACAGACATTTTCCAAGTATCCCTAAGTCTTAACGGGCTTTCTAAGACATATGGGCATGCAGAAACAAAACCTTCAGACCTTCTTCAGCTCTAGGGGTAGCAATATGGGCCCTTAGTATGGTCCCCATTTAAGTGTGTGGCCTGGTTAAGGGCCCATCAACCCAGAACCCTTCACCTAAGCCTAAACCCTAAGCCCTAAACCCAGACTACCCTAAACCCTAAACCCTAAACCCTAAACCCTAAACCCTAAACCCAGACTAAGGGACCATGAAACTACCCTAAGATCAGCGCAGCATCGAAAGCACCAGACCTATGAAAGCCCGCGCTGCAACACGCGCAAGACATGATGGCTACCGAGACCCCCCAAACCCTAAACCCTAAACCCTAAACCCTAAACCCCAAACCCTAAACCCTAAACCCTAAACCCCTCGACAAGCTACGCAGGTCTCTTGTTGGGCATCCCGTCCTTCTACCTGCTTCTGGTCGGGACGGAAACGCTCCAAGGTTTAGGTGGGAAATAGGGACAACAGAAGGTCCAAGAAGGGGTTTAGGGTTTGGGGTTTAGGGTTTAGGGTTTACGTAGGGTTTAGGGTTTAGGGTTTGGGGTTTAGGGTTTGGGGTTTAGGGTTTAGTAAGGTTTAGGGAAGCATAAAACCTAACTCCTTCTTGCAATACTTGGATGCCATTGTACATGCTACAACCCTGAAGGGGGGAGTGGAGAAGTCGTCCTAAACCCAAAAACCCCCTTGGAAGGGAAGATTAAGGGTAAAGGGTCTAAACCCTAAACCCCAAACCCCAAACCCTAAACCCTGAACTCCCCAAACAAAAACACTGGAAGCGAGTCCTTCGGCCTCTTTGCTGTTCCGAGCGGCGCTAAGCCGAAGGCGCCACCCGCCTCACCAATCACGGAGACCCACCTGCTCTGTTTCTCAGTTTGCTGAGTTCCAACTCAGGGTCCATGTACCTGAATAGGGAATACTTGGGCCTTAAAGCACCTCGGTTCTGGGGAACTTTTTGGGCCCAAGTACATAATCATGAGGTACATGGACCCTTAGGGTCATAAGCCCCCCAAAAGTGTACACTTTCAGTTCTATAGTGGACTAAGTGTCCCCAAAAAGTGTAAAGTGTACTTCAGCTACTCAGGCTTTCTACATCAGCACCGACGCGCTCCAGCAGTACAACGCTTTGGCTTTCTACATTTGGGTTTCGGGACTTTTTGTGTTTAGGGTTTCGGGTTTGGGGCCACGGAATTCTCCTCATGCTGAACGCTGCCAACCCCAAACTCGTGGGGGGTGCCGCCAGGAGGCAGATTCATCTTTTCGATGTTCTTGTCATAGAACTCCTGGGTTGGGATGTTCCCCCCTCAACCTAACAGTCCCTAATAGGGATTCTCGTACACCCTATTAAATAAGGACTGCTTGTGTCAGGGGGAACATCCCAACTCCTGGGCCTCGAATGATGTGTGCGGGGCGAGCAACACACATCTCAAGGGAGGCTCCCTGAACCCTATAAGCTCTTCCCCACATCCACGTGTGAAGCCCCGACCCACCAGGGTGAACATAGTACCCAGAGGGTCCGTTTGCAGTACTACTTTGCATTTTGGTACCTTCCCCCCCCCCCCAACAACAACAAAAAAAACTCAACTTATTCAGCATGGTTTCCACTCTGGGCTGTTCGCATCTACAGCTACACGGTCGTCACGGGTTTCAGCACCGTACAAACCCAAAACTCCAACAGCCCGACACCCCAAAACCCCGCAACCCCAAACTCCAAAACTCCCCCCCCCCCCCACCCCCACCAAAAAAAAAAACCTTAAACCCCTAAACCCCCAAACCCCGAAACCTGAACCCTTGAATCCCCAAAAACACCCTTAACCCCCTAAACCTAAACCCCTGAATCCCCATAAAACCCTAAACCCCTGAATCCCCACAACCCCCAAGGCACCGGTCTCATCACCACCTGTGCCATCTCGGCGCTCGCTGGCGCCAGGTTCCGACAGCCTCTGCTCTGACTGTTAAGGGTTTAGGGTTTATAGGGTATAGAGTATAGGGTTTAGGCTTTAGGGGTTTGGGGGTTTGGGGGCTTACAGGGTTTGTCAGGTTAGGGGCTTAATGGTCTTTGAGGGGCTTTGAGGAGGTTCGAGGGGCCTTGAGGGGTGGGGGTTGGTTTAGGGTCCTACCAGAAAGTAGAGCTCACTGCCAAAACGCCCTTTCAGGTTAAGTGGGGCACCAACTATACGATAGTTACTATAGGGATAGGGATGAGAAGAAGGGCCTGTGACAAAGCCAACTTCCCGGACGTGTGATATTGAGCTTTGAGACGAAACGCCATCCGAGGTCAACTACCAAAAAAACATGGCGGGCACGGCAAGCACACAGGCAAGTGCATGGATGTGTGCGTGCTATAGCTAAAGGTTTGCAAACCCTAAGCCCTGTAGGACCTAAACTCATAGAACCCCTCAAGCCTGTAGAAGCCCAAAAACACTTCAAAAAACCCCTTGAAAGCCCTAAACCCTAGACCCTAAACTCTGAACCCTAAATCCTAAACCCCAAATCCTAAACCCTAAACCCTAAACACTAAATCCTAAAAGGCTCAAACCACGAACTTCACCTCCAAGCCGGCTGGCCCTGGTGTGAGGGCTCCAGCGCCTCGGATGAGAGGTACATGACCTGGGCAGCCATCTTTTGAAGGGCTTGCTGGGTTTAGGGTTTAGGGTTTAGGGTTTAGGGCTTAGGGTTTAGGGTTTAGGGTTTTGGGTTTTGGGTTTTGGGTTTAGGGTTTTCTAGGGGGAAGGTGACCGCCCCGCAGGCATTTTTTCACACGGTGCCACCATACCTAGACACAGGAGTAGACAAGGAAACAAAAGGGTGCCCTGTTTGGTTTTAAGAGGATGATAAAGGGAACCTAAATAAGGGCCTACTCTGGGTCCTAGATAAATGTCTCACAGCAGCTGAGAATTGCAGGAAGGAGAAGAGGCACGATGAGAGCTGATGGGCAGCTCTCTAAGTTGTAGGCCCTAGACCTAAAACCTAAACACCTTTTTCGGGCTACCCTGAATACCGGCGTACCGGGCTTAAAATACCCTAAACCCTAAACCCTAAAAACCAAAAAGAAAACGTGTCAATCAATGAATAAAGATATATATATATATATATTATAGATATACATACTACTTAACAGCCCAGCCTAAGAACCCTGAGCTTGAAACCAAACCGCTACAACTGGGTTTAGGGTTTGAGGGTTTTAAGGGTTTTTAGGGTTTGAAGGGAACGACTTTAAAGGTTTTACAGGTTTTAGGGTTCAGGGCCTGGGGTTTTAGGGTGTTGTATCTTGTGATGCAAGATTGTCTGGAGCCCTGTATTTCCTCACCAGCCCGACACCGGCAATGGAGCCACGGCAAGCCACGAACCATTCGCGACGGAGGCGGTTGTAGCTGCCTTCCTTCTGCGTGGTGTCGTGCGTCTTCCTGGGGGATCGAGGCACGAAGTCAGAGAGTCCATCACCCTAAACTTAGTTGTCCAGTAACCTGGGGGAAGTCAAGGTTAACCTTTGGGATTCTAAGGGGATTCTACTACCCCCAAAAACGTTAAAGGTTCCCTACTCTACTACTAGGTAAACTTCTTCCAAGCCTGTACCACGCCGAAAGCTGCTTCAACATCTTCTACCAAGCTCTTACCGAACAACTTATGGGAACAATCCTTTTGGCAAACGTTCCCGAACTTTCTGGGCCCAGGCCCAAGGCATGAAACCACAACATTCGACTCCCAGAGCTTCGAAAAAAACTCCGAACCCCAAACCCGAAAGGGTTTAGGGTTTAGGGTTCAGGGTTTAGGGTTCAGGGTTGAAGGCTCAGGGTGGCCAATTACCGGAGACCCCCCCCCTCCCCCCAAAAAATCCCCCCTAAAACCCCGCAACTGATCCTGACCCACAGGCCCGCTGCGTCTACTCGGGTGGCTGTCAAAACTATGATCCCGTTTGGGGTACCCTAAATACTCGGTGCCGTATTATAGTAGGGATCCACAAACACCCACTTGAGGTGCCATTCAGGACTGAGCTAGGTACCCAGAGAAGTCATACGAAATAAGGATTTCAGAGCACGCACAGTAGCTCCATGCAAAACCTACATATCCTTTAAACCCTATAAAACCTAGATACCCTATGAACCCTATGTAACCCTATGTTAAACCCTATAAACCCCAAATCCCCAGACTCAGTACATACTACAACAGGACCCCCTGGGTTGTTGAACGGCCAAGAAAAACCGCTGCTAGGGTTTCGGGTATTTAGGGTACTTAGGGGGTTTAGGGTTATAGGGTTTAGGGTTTAGGGTTTAGGGTTTAGGGGGATGTTGAGCACAAACACCCGTGCCGCAATCCCAGCACCAGGGATCCGCGCGAACCGTACTGACCAAACATGGCAGTCATCTGACCATGTCCCCCCCTTCTTCCCCTGCGTAATAAGGCTTTCTCACGTAGGTCACGTAGGTCACCCTCAACCAAGCCCTAAACCCTCAACCCTGAACCCTAAACCCTAAACCCTACAAATCCCCCAAGACATCCCCTAAATTTGAGTCCAAGTAGCACGTAGGTCATCGACGACCTGCCCGGCTCCACCAGTTGATTCATCTCCATGTTCAGGGCCTCTCTGGCACCGTTCTCTGACTTCTTCTTGGTGAGTTTATGATTTAAGGGTTTAGGGTTTAAGGGTTTAGGGTTAGGGGTTTAGGGGTTGAGGGGTTTAGGGGTTTAGGGTTTAGGAGTTTAGGGTTTTTGGGTTTAGGGCCCACTGTGTTCATTGAAGGGAAGGTACCTTATGGGAGTATAAGGTGCATTCCTTAAGGAAGCTAAGATGAGGGGCACCGGCAGGGGCTCAGAGACTGAGCTTTCTAGTATTGCAGGCTGGCAAATGAAGGGGTTGAGGGTTTAGATGGGTTTAGAGATCCCAACAAGAGGTCCCTCTATGAGCCCTAACCCTAAACCCTAAACCCTAAACCCTAAACCCTAAACCCTAAACCCTTTCCCCTAAACCCTAAACCCTAAACCCTAAACCCTAAACCCTAAACCCTAAACCCTCCTAAACCCGAAGCCCTAACACGAACATCCGAAGATCTAAACCAAGGGAATGAGGGTACTATCCTACGCCACGTCAACCCCTGAGGTTTTAGGGTTTGGGGGCCCTAAACCCTAAACCCTAAACCCTAAACCCTAAACCCTAAACCCTAAACCCTAAACCCGGCCTCAGAGAAGATCTTGACCCCTGCCGTGGCCGGGTCCTCGGGCTGCATGGGTTTCGGGCTTTGGAGGTCTTCATCCCGGGTCTTTAGGGTTTAGGGGGCCTCTCGGCCTAAAAAGGGGGGGGGGGGGGGGCGTCCTAGAGTCTTAGACCCGAAATTCGCCTAGCACCTGCAACCAAGGCACTCAAACCGAGGTTCTGAGACACTAAGACCCCAAAACCCTAAACCCTAAAACCCTAAAACCCCAAAACCCCGAAACCCCAAAACCCTAAAACCCTAAAGCCCTAAAGCCCTAAAGCCCTAAAGCCCTAAAGCCCTAAAGCCCTAAAACCCTAAAACCCTAAAACCCTAATCCCTATAAAGCCCTAAACCCTTAAGTCTAAGCCAGTGGCCCAGAGCCTGCGACGCAGGGTCGCAGCCCAGACTGTTGGGGGCCCGAGGATGCCTTCCAGAATCCCCACTAAAGTATCGACTTTACAAGCAATCCGAAGACGAACCTAAAGCCACCCAAAAAAACCTATAAACTCTAACCCTGTGGTGGAGGGTTTAGGGTTTAGGGTTTAGGGCTTTAAGGATTAGGGTCTTAGGGTTTGAGGGCTTTAGGGTTTTAGGGTTTAAAGCCTTTGGGCATAATGTCGTGACCCTCTTGCAAACAAAAGGAACGTGGTTCTGAAGCACTTTTTGTCCCTGGCTTTTTCTGGGCCAGAGAGCTGCTTAGAACAGTGACAAATCAAGACAAAGAATCCATTGATTGGCACGGCTAGTCTCCATGAGGGATTATAAGGGGCTGAAATGTCCTGCAGGGATTCCCATGTCTTTTAATGGTCTAAGGCCTTAAAGTCTCATAGGCATTGTTCTTATGGTCCGCAGTATCTTGCTGAAACCCTAGACGCAGACCCAACGCATATAGCAAGCTTGGGAGCTCGGAGATCAGATCCAGTTAAGCCCCAACCCACACCCTAGAACCCCCAAGGCCGCCCTGAAAATCTGAAAACCCCCAAAAAAGCCACAAACAACTGCCTGGAATAAACAAACGAAGCCTCCTTTGCCGGGTGTTTTTTGCTCTTTGTGGTGCGCCCTCCCAGACTCCCCCTTGGAAAACCTTATAATTGATAAACCACGAAATCCGAACATTCCTAGCTGTAAGGGCTCTTTTCTCGCATTCCTCCTCTGTTGAGGCTTTTCTGGAAATATGAAAACATGACTTGTGTCGGCATTCCCTTCTGCAAGGTCGAGGGTTGCGCTTCTACGTTGCGCCATCTAGCGGAGAATACCTGTGACTCCCAAACCCTACAGAAATAGTAGGTTCCAACCCCTAAATTTTGGCCATAACCCCCCCAAAATAGTAGGTGAATGGAGCTCCAGGTAACGCAGCATTCCTAAAGAAATCCCCGTGGGGTATGAAGCTGTCCGAACTAAAGAGAGAGCCGGGGGGGGGGGGGGGGCTTGGGGTTTACTTGAAACTCTCGTTAACGGGTTTTATACCTACTATATAACTCTAGGGACTGAAAGTAAATAAAGTCTCAGGTAGGGCTACGGGTACTAAACCCCCTAAACCCAACCCTAACCCCCCTGAACGCTATACCCCCCTAAACTCTATATCCCCTAAACCCTAAAACCCCTAAACCCTGAACCCCCCAAACCCCCAATACCCCCAAACCCTATACCCCCCTTAAACCCCTAAACCCCCCCTAAAACCTATACCCCCCTTAAACCCTATACCCCGCCTAAGCCCTAAACCCTAAACCCTAAGCCCTACACCCTAACCCTAAACCCTAAACCCTAAACCCTAAACCCTAAACCCTAAACCCTAAACCCTAAACCCCAAACCCAAGCGTTGCCAAGCTTCAGTTCCATTAGGGGAGCTCCACCACATGTGCAGCCCCTCCCGGGCAGCGTTGGAGTAGCCTCCGGAAGAAAGAGCTGCAATTGCTCAGGGTTTAGGGTTTAGGGTTTAGGGTTTAGGGTTTAGGGTTTAGGGTTTAGGGTTTAAAAACCCTAAGCCCTATAGCTGTAGGGCTTAGGGTTTAGGGTTTAGGGGGTGGGGTTCAGCCAGGGCATGTGATGAACCCTGTGGAAAACAGGGCACATGGTCCATATAGCTTTAGTCATAGTAGGGATTGGCAGAGGGTGGGTTGGATTAGCAGAAGGGGGGGGGGGGGGGGGGGTTGCTGACATCAATGTTTAGGAAGACCTACAGGCATCCTGCAGCAAGATGCCCGGCACATCTGTAGGGTTTAGGGTTTAGGGTTTAGGGTTTAGGGGTTTAGGGGTTTAGGGGTTAGGGTTTAGGAGCATGATTCATGCTGATTCAGGCTCTAGTGATTCGGGATGCCGTGCTTGATGGGTTTAGGGGGGCTCGGGGTTTTTAGGCGGAGGGGCTTTGTATGTTCCTGAGGGTGCATAGGTCTCCTGATCGCCCACATCGCGATCATCGAATACAGAAGCCTACAATACTACCAATACTATTCCCTTACAATCCACATTTTCTTTTTCTAGCACGATCTACGTAGTTACAAATAATGTCATCATTCCAACAGAAAAGGCCCTAAAGCCCAAATCCCAGACCCTCACGCCAAGCCCTAAACTCAAACCTCGAACCTCAACATGAACCCTTAACTCCCACAACCAAACCTCAAAAAAACACTCGCAAGCACCTAAGCCCCAAACCCTAAACCCTAAACCCTAAACCCGAAACCCTAAACCCTAAACCCGAAACCCTAAACCCGAAACCCTGTTGCAGTTCAGGTGCACATCTCCAGAGTCCTCTGCTCGCCGCTGGACATGGCGATACATTGATCAGAGCCTTGGCTCCCAAGCAACTCAAGGGCATCTCGGGCTAGGGGTTCATAGGGTTTAGGGTTTAGGGTTTAGGGTTTAGGGTTTACGGTTTAGGGTTGAGGGATCATGGGGGTCTGTAGTGTGCAGGGGTTCACAGGGGTAGGTTTCAATTCTTGTTCGGGTTAATCGGGCCGCTTTTTTAGCGTCTGTAGGGCTTTTTGGGGCGGCTTAAAGAGTTGGTTGACGTTTAGGGTTTAGGGTTTAGGGTTTAGGGTTTAGGGTTTAGGGTTTAGGGTTTAGGGTTTAGGGTTTAGGGTTTAGGGTTTAGGGTTTAGGGTTTAGGGTCTCCAGGGTTCATAGGGCGTTCAACGAGGCTAAGGGTCTACAGAGTTTATAGGGCGTTGAAAGACTTTATCCGGCCTACCAGTACTGGCTTTACGCGATGCGTAAAAAGTACTTAAAGGGTCTGTAGGGGGCTTCGGGGTTTCGGGGTTAGGGTTGCTGGGGCAGGGCTTAGTGCGGCTTTCGAGAGCTCATATGGTCTGTAGAGTAGTTTATGGGGCTGGAAGGACTTGTCTGGGTGGGCTTTACAATGGAGTCTGGTTGATCGACAACCGAGGCGCTGCCGCTCGTGCAGCCTGATATCCACATCCAGCAGTCCGCCTGCCATAGGGTTTAGGGTTAAGGGATGTTAAGGGCTTAGGGTTTTAAGGGTTGAGGGTTTAGAGTCCAGGGTTTAGGGCTCTGTTAAGTTTTTTTAATGCAGCATGACTACCATTGCCTGAGCCCTGATCCCGCTGGCTTTCGAAAGCTGATCTTGTGGATTTAGCCCTAAGGGTCCATGTACCTATATAGTGTATACCTGGACCCTAAAGCTACTGTATGGGAAGCCCTTTAAGGCCCAAGTGTATACTATATAGGTACATGGACCCCTAGGGTAGGGTTAGGGGCGGGGCAACGCCAGAGGGACCAGCTGCAATTTCTTATTGCTTTGCCTAGTGAGTCATGCGGTGTCAGGTTGCTGCTAACAGCCTTCAGCGCCTTTGGCCCCTTTTGTCACCCCCCCCCCCCCCCCCCCCCCCCCCGGCCCCGCTCTTAATCCCTAAGCCCTTCAACCCTACAGGCGCTTTCTGCCAAAACCCTAAACCCTAAACCCTCAACCCTAAACACCAACCCCTAAACCCCTATCCTGAAGCCCTGTGTAGGAATCCGGCCTCACTGCCGCAGGGCTTCTAGGGCTTAGGAAGCTTTGTGGGGCTCAAAGGGCTTTTCGGGTTTGTAAGCCTAAGGCTTGTTTGAGGTCAGGGTTTAGGGTTTAGGGTTTAGGGTTTAGGGTTTAGGGTTTAGGGCTTAGGGTTTAGCTCATGGGCTTTCGGACAACCAAGGGCCTCCACACACTGGACCTTCATC